CACCACTTACTTCACAACAATAAGAAAGACAGGACTGATTAATTGGTGTGTGTTTTCTCATGTTTCTTTCAGTGCGACGTTCCGGTACAGGTCCTAGTGCATTTATCAAGGAATCCGTCAGGATGGCACCAGCACATATGGGAATAAAGAAGTCACAAATGTTTTTGTCAGTACCACATCTTCAAAATATCACTTAAAGATATTACACAACCTTGTTGGAGCACGTGCGGTAGTAAATAAGTATAGCTTGATTAGTGATTAAGTCAATACCAGTTCAATAGTGATTTACACAGGGTGTATTACATACACGTTTTAACAGTAGGTGAAGGATATATCACCCTACTTCCAGATAAACTAGGTGTCAGGATCCCGAAAATAGATAAAAACCAATGAGCATCTTGTAGAATCTCATACATGTATGCATTTTTAGTTCACTAACAATGCCAAACAACTCCTACGTTAATATGAAAAAGAACATGAAATAATATGATAGGATATCGTCCTCAAACGACGAATGAGCAAAACATTATGTTCTATGTGAAGCGCTGATCTCTTCACCATTACTCTGCAATGGCGTGGCATTCCTGTAAGCAGGCGGTCTGTCTCTGCCATGATGGCGCGTTGAAAATGGTAAAGAGAAAGTCGCGAAAGGGAATCCGCCAGTATCATTACACTATTAGATGTCAGATCACAGCCACCCAGCCATCCAGAATGTCCCTGGCCATATAAAGAAGTTCTGTATGTAGCCATGAGAAGTCAACATTGGTCGGGACAGTGGCATCAGCCAATCACCGCCCGGCTGCTGAAACTCCATCACTCGGCTAGGTGATATGCGGTATAAATCCACAGTGGAACTGTGCGCCACCAGAACGGCTTTTGAACGTGAGTGAAAGGTGAAGGTATTGTGTGTTTGGCCCTCCAAAGTGACAACCACCCTTGAATGATGCACCCATCTCACCCATACCTCCCCAAATACCTTTATTACAGCACCACATCACATATATATGTACCCGAGATTTAACCTGCTTTCATACATACCCTAAAAGCACCTGTGTATACCTACCACGAGTGAACCAAGCTTTTGAAACCCCGATAAACCCTTTTTTATAGATTTTCAGAGAAATGTTCATTATTGAGCAGGATTACACTTCTGTCGCTTGGATTACCTTGGTGCGACGTTACCATGGATATCTGAATTAAGGTTGGTTGGTCGGTGGTTGAGTGTGCGTCTTCAAACGTGGATATTTCCATAATCATTTTTCAGTGTGCACAACTGGTATAATTTTGAATGAACCCCAAAGAGCATATATACTATGTCGATGTAAAACAAGATTAGGGCATGACCAAGCGGTCTATCACGTGTCAGGTATACAGAACGTTTTTAGCTACCTGGATCCGCTGTCGTTGGTTCGAATCCCTGATTCGTCCCGATTATGACCCTTGATATGTCAGCACCGTAACCTTTTCCGTTGGTGAATGTGTTGTGCGGTAAGCGCCAGGCTAGGTTTTCGACCCACAATGTAATGAACGACTCATTATAATTACTGTTCAAAGGATCATGAAGGGCTAACTTACAAACAGAACACTTTTGTACACTGTTCTTGCTCATATAGCAAAGTTATTAGGGCGCGCCGTTATAAACCAGTACTCTGTTGAAATCCTGTAAATAGATTTCGCGTTCATTGTGGTATTTGTGAGTCAAGTCTATCGCATTGTGAAAACTTTCTACATATTGCACTGTGGTATTGTGCGGACAATTCAAGGATTAGAAAAATGGACTGTTGTACTTTCTGATATTTCTCATGACTATTGAATATTTCTTGTTGCAACCCTCCAAAACCATTTCGACAACAGAAACTGGGGATGTACTTATACGTCAGGGCTGTCTCACAAACACTCGACGAGCTCCTTTCTGCTCTAATCGTCTGACTCCTTGCAATAGATTGCGTGTTGACGGAGACCACACAACTTTGGTTCCACGGAAAATATTTGCTTCTGTACCACACTGGAGATTGATTACGTCGCTTGGAATTTATTCCCAGGTGACTTTAATTTCCTCCAAAAATAAGTGAGCAGGATTTAGAATATTAATTACGTATATTCAGCCTCTACATTCAGGGGATGTCTCTGGCTGCCACAATGTTAGACGTTTATTGTTTCAGTGTGCAATATTCGAGTTACCTAATGTTGACATGGTTGATGGCATTTAGTCTCGTCTCGTCTCGTCTCGTCTCGTCTCGCGGAAGGCCAGTTTATTCTCATTCGAATTTATAACGTGTTTCCACCATAGTATTGAATATTGCAAAAGGTTCCGTAAAATCTGAGTCAATCACTATACTGATACATTTTGCCACACATATACTACACTGTTTCACTGACCCTATTCAATGGTGTTGTTGTAAAATCAATACCAGTGGACATCGGAATACCACCGTTTAAGGCATGTCTACACGTGTGGGTACGTATGTGAGGGTTATCAGCAAATCTCCGCCGGTCTAATGCACGGGTGCCTAGTGCAAGAGACTGGATGGCTTCAGGTGCTGCAACCACATTCATTGTCGGTTTACCAATCTCACGGGGACCAGTCTGCAGTGATCACTTGCACAAAACCATCTTAGCCCTAAACCTCTTGTAACTCCTCTTTTGACTTAATTAAATAGCGCTTTGATCGCTTTGTTCAAGCGGACCCAGAACTAAGGCTTTTGTTACCCGAGTAACCATTAATGTAGTTAAGCCAGTTGGAGGTTAATAGGTTATGTTTATTTTCCCGATAATGGGCATTATTCCTCATTGGCATGTATATCAGCTCTTGCCTCCGAGTACGGGGCCTGTGGACTAGCCCATAATAAGGACAAACTTAGAGGACTGATGAATTACGTTCTCTTGTAACGTCGATAAAACACGTCACATAAATAAATTAGTCACTGAGGAATCAATTAGATGTGACAGATGCCCTGCCAAAAAGTATTGCTCAACGAAACATCCAGCCCAGCACGTTTTTGTTGTTAATGCCAGCTCGTCTTTTCTTCACATCAGTTATCAGCCAACCCTGGCTGTCGCGAAACACGGAGGAGTTTTTATCACTTCCACTATCGGTGTGCATCGTTACTTAGCTCAATAAATATGCCACCGGGTTTCGAGTTAACAGCAGAAGGGAATATACACGCATTTCGGAAACAGTATAATATATCAATGTTTCCTCCACCTCGAGCATATTTAGGTCGACATGGTGCTGCTCCCAGTACGTCTTCAGGATAAATGTGTCATACCTGACGTATGTCGGATTGGCCCAACAAGGCATCAAACTGTGTCACTGTCACTGAGTATGTGAAAGGGCGTTTTCAAGAAATGGCTACGTTAAAAGATGATATTTATTGTTAACCCACACTGACAAAGGGGATTACTTGGAATAATGACTGTTTGGCTCGGTTTAGTATATTGTGTCAGCATGGTATCTCAGTTGGGTAGCAGTATAAAACCAGTATTAGCCAAAACAATTTCAAGCAGACACTATACACTAACATCTCTATCCATGAAAATGAACAGTTATCATGATAACTCTGCATCTCATTAGGTTATAGATGTGTACTTCGAGTGAAACAGTCTAGGGTGTAACATTGTATCCCGAGTTTCATTTGGGAAAGGGTTTGCAAGTGGCTAGAGATATAAAAGTCATGAAAAACACTGGAAAGTTCAACAGTCCATTCTTTGAATCCCCTTTTCCCAGAACAATGCGGTATATATGTCGCACATGTTATCAAGTTAGACTTTCCTCACAAGTGGAGAGGACACACTGTTGTGTAACGGTTCTTATCTTTAATTATAATCCCAGAACGCGAAATAGAGTACCCGTGGAATAACTCTTTAATGTAGGGGTGCATCATCTTGATCTAACAGCATGAGTTTCAAATGTAACTTTAGTGTGTTGGTAAGTTGCATTTACACTGAGCACATGGATTGTTACCTTCATTTTGGAAAGGGAATAGTAAATTACATACACATACACACCTAAGCGTTCTGACTTTGATTGGTTTGGAGAGGGTTATTGATCTGAATTAGAATAACGAGTTTGGCTCTGTATACTCTCGAAGATTCTGTTTTTCACATAATTACTCTTGATTCTTTACAGGAAGTTGGTAGTTCTTGACACATACAGTGAACACAACGGAACATGAATCAATCATGGCCAAATATAATTCTATAACACATTTTACTATTACGACGTCACACCGCTAAATATGAGGCAATGGTGCATGCCGTTATGTATAGAAAAGAGCCAGATTTCAATCTGTTCAGTTTTTAGCGGGTGTTAGTGGTAGGTTTTGTTGTGACCACACTGTATTGCCACAGATACTGTGAACATAGTAGTAACCGTAATTCTGACTTTTGTAACCTACAATTGCACATATCATGATCTCAGAATACACCAAGAAATAAGTTCTTTATAGAAATTGTAGCTTCAACGATGATGATATGGATGTTACATCTACTGTTTCAAATGTGTTTGACAACTAATGTGACTGAATGCCTGAGCTGTTAGGATCGACTATTTTCCATATATATATATATTGATGGTAATGCTGTATTGGCCTTGTGTATCGTGTTGTGAACCACCAAGCTTTCATCCGACATACCTTCTCCTTTCAAACGGAAGCAGTCTCCAGTGTTTCAGTTAAAGACTGGGGTGTGTAACCCATGGCAGTCAGACAATATGCTGTTGTACAGATCTCTTTATAGCAATTCCGCTTTATGGTAGAAGCGTCATAGTACTCAAGTGTATCCGAAATGACGTGAAGAATTGCGAGGTTTTGTCATACAAAAGTGCGCTGACGGTTTCAAATACAAGAGTCGCCTCCGATTAAGATCCTTTGTTTGTCGCCTAGTGTGTTTTCTCGGATTGTTAGACATCCTTAATCTAGGTTATTTCCTCCAGTACTGACACGCCAAAATTATTCAGTGTCGTGCTTTCCAAGCTTTACCAGCCATTTTGGTCATTCCAGCTGGACTCCAGTCTTGGGCTGTTCCGATCGACTTCAGCGGCCAAGAGCGGTACAGTGATCGGGGAGCCAATCTGTAGACAGTCTCCCAGTTTCGGGTTTTATTTGTTTCGATAACAAGGGAGCTTGATAAACCAACAAGATGGCCTCCTACGATGTCAATGATCCGGACATGAAGTACCTTGCGGTAGACCGCAAGAAAATGCTGAAAGAACAGACGAAGCCATTTGATGCCAAAACAGCTTGCTGGGTACCCGATGAGGAGGATGGCTTCGTTGTCGGAGAGATCAAAGGCGAGTCTGGTGAACAAGTCACAGTCGTTGTCGTGGAAACCAACGAGGTAACTATTTTCAATTTTTAGAGTCGGACGGTTACATGTTACATGCGTTACATTTTTTTATTATCTTCTGTTGGCCTTAATAGCGTATAAGCGTAAGTATTGAGCTCTGTAGTTAATAACAGGACACATATATCAGTGTGTAAAGTATTTGGATAACAAGAACGTTACTTTTGACGAACCTGTTTGTTACCCACTTGACATTTAGCATTTCTAGAAGAGGGGTGGTGGGGTAGCCTAGTGGTGAAAGTGTTCGCTCGTCAAGCCGAAATCCGGGTTCGATTCTCCACATGGGTACATTGTGTGAAGCCCATTTCGGGTGCCCCCCGCCGTGATATTGCTGGAATATTGCTAAATGCTGCGTAAAAATAAACTCACTCACTCACCTTTCTAGGAGAATTTTCGTTTGAAACATTTGAACATGAACATTTATGATTTACGTTATCAGACAAAAACCGTGAAGAAGGATGACATCCAGTCGATGAACCCTCCCAAGTTCGAGAAGCTCGAGGACATTGCTAACTTGACATACCTGAACGAGGCCAGCGTCTTGTACAATCTGAAAGCCAGATACACTTCTGGATTGATCTATGTGAGTAATGTGTTGGATGAAGTACCGCTTCCAGGACAGCTGATTGCGCACAACACTGCACTCGTTGCAGTACCAATTGTCTCTTAATTTCCAACGTTGATATATCCGACATTGATAAACATTCGATTAATGTTGGTGTGGTGAAGAAAGAGATGCACGAATATCCTTATAATATGTTAAACCATAAGAATAATACCTCTGTACCAAAAAGATCAATTGTAAACTAAACAATTAACGCCTGATCTTGTCCTACGTATTTCAGACATACTCAGGTCTGTTCTGTATCGCCATCAATCCCTACCGCCGTCTCCCCATCTACGTCCCGTCCGTCGTTGACAAGTACAGAGGCAAGAGGAAGACCGAGATGCCTCCTCACTTGTTCTCCATCTCTGACAACGCCTACCAGTTCATGGTGCAAGGTAGGGTTTTCAACCTGGCTTGGTGATATGGAGTTATTCAGCTCGACACTGTCGTAACGCTGACCACGTAATTACGCAACTTAGTGATGGAATCAAAGCCAAAGATGTGAACATTTAGCATAATGATTGGAATAGCGGAAATACAAGAACTCGTCGTGAACATTAGGAAGATTATACTATACTCACATACATGTTCAAATCCTTTATATTTCAGATCGTGAGAACCAGTCTATGTTGATCACGTAAGTCATTTTCATCACTGATCATGATTACAAAATTGCGATGAACCTATACTATGTATATTATGAACAAGTTAGGGATCATTAACATTTTGGGGATTTCTTTCCAATAGAGACTGAGCGCACAATTTCATGATAACGTCCCTCAAAATATTCATAAACCCGTACCTTTTTGTTCGCTATGTTTGTTTTCATGTATAAGCAGCTAGTGTGTGTCAGTCGCCTTGGTTTAAGGTCACATATGAGGGATTGGTGTTCGAGTCTTCTTTTATTATTTTATTATTCGTTTTATAATCTTTTGGATATGTGCAGGAGATAACAGTGAAGGGTCAGTATGTTCATGTAACAAGTAAATAAGATCCGTGGATCCGTTATGACTGGTAGAAATCTCAAACTTTAACTATCTTCCAATCACGTAATTTAACCTTTGGTCATTACAGTGGCGAGTCTGGAGCCGGAAAGACTGAGAACACCAAAAAGGTCATCTCTTACTTTGCATTCGTTGCTGCCGCAGGAGATAAGAAAGAAGAGAGTGAGGAAAAGAAAGTAAGTAATCGGAATGTTGCAAAACTTTTCTCATTCACAACATAACTTACTTAAAATAGTGTTGCACGTTCGCAACACAGTAGTAAAAAGAACACAAAAAATATGCCACGTTTGAGGCAGATCGAAAGAGAGAACTGTCGGAATGGCCCAACAAGGAACTAACCACACCGTCACTGCCAGAACCTTCGGCTGCACCCGAGCAACTGTCATCAGACTGATGGAGCGACTAGGACAAACAGGCAATACGTCAGACAGGCCTAAGATTGGTCGACCACGTGTGGCAACGCCCGGTGATGATCACCACATCCGGACAATTCATCTTAGAAATCGTTTTGTAAGGACGGCATCAACGGCATGAGTGACGGTACTAGCCCACCGTACCAGTCGACATACAATGCACTGGCCACTAAGAGAACATGTGTTGTTCGAACACATCGACCCTGCCGCGGAGTGCATCTGACACTTTAAAACCGACGTCGTCAATTGACATGGGTCAGACGAGTTCGCCGCTGGCAGATGCGTGATTGGCAACGTGTGATGTTCAGCGACGAGAGTAGGTTTTGCCTGTACAGTGATGGCGGTCGGGTTTGTGTTTACAGACGAGTAGATGAACGTTCAGAGCCGAATTGCATTCAGCAAGTCCGACCGTTTGGAGCCGGTAGCGTGATGGTGCGGGGGTATGTGCGGCGATCTCAAACCGAGATTTGTGATTATTCATGGCAACCTGAATCCTCGAAGATACAGGGATGCGACCAGCTGAGTTACCATTTATCCAGCAACAACAACATGGCATTGTCTACCAACACGATAACGACAGGCATCATACCACAAGACTGGCAAACGACTTTCTGCATAAAACCAACATAGTTGTTTTGCTTTCGATATGAATGCGATAGAACACTTATGGGACTACACGGATTGACAAATCAGAAGACTACCAGCTCCACCTGTCACCCCCCAACAACTGGAACGATGTATCCAACAGGATGGCAACGGATCACGCCTAACGTCATTGTCTTACGGCATCAATGCGTCGACGTGTTTTGACGTGTATTGAAGCCAACGGTGGTCACACTCACTATTGATTCAACATTTGATGACATTTGCAGAAAAACCGCCTTATTGATTTGTGTAAAAGTTCCGACTATGATACCACGTGTCTTTCAGTGTCAGTCAAACGGTACTTTCGACTTTGTATGAAATGAAATTGTGTACATTTGCTGTAGAATTGAGTACTCTATTGAAATTAAACAGATGTTCATTTTTATATACTTTTCTTTGCTTTTCAAGTTTGGTCAAACACTGCAGACTTTCTATTGAACGCTATTTTTCAGGCTACGTATTTTTTGTAAAAATGTTTTGGTTGAATGAAGACCGGGATAAAAAATAGATTTGCACCCACTTGACCACTACAGTGTTGAAGTGTTGAAAAAAGATGATCCATATCCCATACCCAGTTATTAAATTTTCAATTTGTTCTTTAAAAATGGAACGAAGTAGATGTATACTGCAAGTGCTTTATAAGCAACAGTACAATTCATATTTGGATATAATGTTGCTAACGTAAAATCTTTTTAATTGAAAATCCATCACATGATTAACTCAACAGAGCGGAATAGTCTAAGTTGGCCCTCAGTTTAAATTCGATATCACCGGGAGCTACTGAGTCTACGAGTGACTCAGAGCTAAGTATGTATTATTATGTTATATGTCTCAATATCTATATGCGATTCACATAACTTTTTTCATTTTCAGGGTTCCCTGGAGGATCAGATCGTGCAGGCTAACCCTGTCCTTGAGGCCTACGGTAACGCCAAGACGTCCCGTAACAACAACTCCTCCAGATTCGTACGTCATTCGTATAGTATCATTACTTCTGTACTTGTACCGACGCAAATGTACAAATGTTCTATGTATGCATCACCAGATTCCGTCCCTCCGAGGTACTGCCGTCAGAGCAGGACATGCTTACGCTTTTCGCGAACACCTGGTGTCATCAATGATTTCAGTAGTCTAACCGTACAGTTTTCACAGCTAATTTGCCCTTTACAACAAATGGAATCTATTTCTGAGGATAGTCAAGACAGGGTATAGTTTGTGGATAGTGTCTGCCTGGAGAATGTAAGGAAGCATTAAACTTTTAGGTATTAAATATGGTCTTTGTTCTTACCCTCCCTTGAACTCGGGAGAAAAGGAATTAAAATGGACTGGTCGACTAAGAGTCAGTATACTCTGTCCTTGCGGAATATCCCAATCTATGGGATGTCTCTGTGGGATGTGACTATAAAACCGGCTTTGGTCGTACATCATCCACCACCACCCATCCAACCACAGATACCCCCTCACTCACTCACACTGTTGTTTTTGTGATCTTTCAGGGTAAATTTGTGCGTATTCATTTCGGCAGTTCAGGAAAAATCGCCGGAGCTGATATTGAAACATGTAAGTATTAGTATTTAACATTTGTAATGCGCTAAATTCCGCACCACGGAGGGCACGCTCAAAGTGCTACAATCTTATATTACTGCGCCACACGCCACCACGATATAGTATACCTTGCTGGATGCAATAGGCTGGACTGCTATGATTATTTCGTTCATACTGTGATTATATATCCAATGCTATGAACAACTGATTCCGCAAACAATGTGTATATTACAGGCCTCGGGCCTTTTGTGTGTAACACCCCTCACCCACTCGTGCCACATCTTAGTGTTTTCTGTGCTGACTTCGGGTACATCGGGTGCGTGGTGAAGCTTAGAGGTTAAAGCTTGCACTGGTCACGCCGAAGGTACAGCTTTGTTACCCGGTAATACTTTCTGTTGGTAAAATGTAGAGAGCACATTTCTGAGTTAATATCACTGGAATATTAATAAATGTTGCGTTAAAATATACTCATTAACTTTTTTATCCTAGATTTGCTTGAGAAGTCTCGGGTAACCCAACAGCAGTCGGTAGAGAGGAACTACCACATCTTCTACCAGATGTTGTCTGGCGCCGTTCCGGATGTAATTGGTAAGTAAATAAAGTCTTCAAGGAAAATGCTTCATAACAAACAACGGGGAGAGTTCTATGGATATACAAATTCTTTATCATCAATATGAGGGACGTTTAGGTGTAGCTACTAGCATGTATATCCATAGAACTCTCCCCGTCGTTGATCACACCAACTTCTAAATGCCACCCTAAGAAGTCATGCTTCATAATACATGTAATCATTTTCCTAATTTAAACAGCTATGTAGATCTGCTGCAAGCGTACACCAATAATAATGTTTATGTGACTCATATACATTTGAAAACAATTTCCGCAGAGAAAATTGTGGCTCAAGCAGACCCTGGTCTTTACTCCTTCATCAACCAGGGTGTATTGACCGTGAATGGCATTGACGACGTAGAGGAAATGAACACCACCCACGTGAGTGTTATTTCAAGCGTATAAACTCACGTTATTTTGCTGTAATGGTAAAGCAAACCCATCACTGAAAAATGATGATTTTAGATAAACTGTTTCGCACGTCTTTAACCACTAATACTGAGATATGTACGTGCGTACGCACGTACACATACGTATAATGTTAGCTTCTTAACCGTTCAGTTGGGGCAGCACTGACAGATTGTGTTGGTAGTGGGTTTTCAAGATACGTTTCTATTCAACATAGTTTTTTTTAGTGAACTAGGGTCACTGTGATCCTGCGAGTCTTGAAAGTTTAGTACATTTTACATTCATATTTTGCAGAGTGCCTTTGATGTTTTGGGTTTCACCCCGGATGAAAAAGTTAGTTGTTACAAGTGCACTGGTTCCATTCTGCATTTGGGTGAGATGAAGTTTAAGCAGAAGGGCGAACAGGCTGAGCCTGATGGAACTGCTGAGGCGGAGAAGGTTTCCTTCCTGTTGGGTGTCAACTGTGGTGACTTCCTGAAGGCTCTGTGTAAACCCAAGATCAAGGTGGCCATGGATTACGTCACCCAAGGACGTACCAAAAATCAAGTGAGTACCTCTTTGGAAATTGAATTTGTGTACTTCATAACTTGACAATTTACCAACGTATCAGACATTATTTCTGTGACTGTTTCTAGGTTCTGTACTCGGTCAATGCCATGGCTAAATCTCTCTTCGATCGCGTTTTCAACTGGCTTGTGAGGAGGGTCAACCATTCTCTGGACACCAAGAAACCAAGAAACTATTTTATCGGCGTACTGGACATTGCTGGATTCGAGATCTTTGATGTATGTATTCACCTTGACACTCCCAATGAAATATTATGCCATAAATGAACAGATTCAGATCCAAGCCATAGTTCTCTCTTCATATTAGAATACAGAAACCTGTCGTCTCACCACTTTATACATACATGACTATGAGCTGAAATCTTTGTCTTGTGTATTGTATTGTCAATGTGTGCAGTAATTGATGGAACCACGTGACACAACAATGTTCAGTTCTAGTCGCACGTAACCTTGTCAGCTCTACAATCCGGCACGCTATCGAAACCGGATTATGGCTTCACTCCCGACGAGTGCCGGCTTAGACAGCTTCCCTGTATAGGTATATTCCTCACTGTCAAACAGTAGGCTGTTTATAGCTGCTTCATCGCTGAGACAACTCTTGGTGTGAGCTAGAACGAATATTGTTGAACAAAGAGGGACGATAGACCAAACAAATCTGGCATAATCTAGAGGTATATAGCAACTAGCTTGTCTGTGATGTGAATTGTTAAATTTACCAACACAATACGTTAACTAAAGCAAGACAGTATTGGAAAATATGTTGTTAAATGGGAGAGATCAAAATACTTAAAGATAACTACATGGTTGAAGAAAACCCCAAGACAAAAGCTGGACTTCTTTTAAGTGCCTTTTCCCCTTGATATAAAACTGACCACTCAGTCATAACTATATTTTTCTCCAATGCAATTAATCGACAAAAAGGAACGGGTATTGGATATCTACGGAAGCGTAGTAGGGCCACGGTGAAAATGTTTTGGGGGGTCACTATCTCCTACGTAGGACTTAATATCTCCTACGTAGGACTTAGTATCTCCTACGTAGGACTTAATATCTCCTACGTAGGACTTAGTATCTCCTACGTAGGACTTACTATCTCCTACGTAGGACTTACTATCTCCTACGTAGGACTTAGTATCTCCTACGTAGGACTTACTATCTCCTACGTAGGACTTAATATATCCTTTTTAAGAATGGTTATTAAGTTGAGAAATGTTTGGCTATGCAGGACGTTAGATAGTGGAAATGTGAGTCAGTGAATATTCATGACACTAACGCAGTGTTACTGTACAGTGTGTATTGCGTTAGCGTGACGTGGACCCTGTTCTAATTGCAGTTATGGAGGTTTGGGTATGGTTATGTTTAATCTATCATACATACATCTACTCACACACACAAACACAGAGAGAGAGAGAGAGAGAGAGAGAGAGAGAGAGAGAGAGAGAGAGAGAGAGAGAGAGAGAGAGGTGGGTGGGATGATTGGGGTGAGGTTGTGATATGAAACTCGGGTTATAACACGACCTCCGCAAGTTGTTGCTTGTCTTGATGGGGCTAGGTTGGATCGGATGCAACGCTCGTTTGCGGTTTTATTCGTAATTGTTTACAGGTTGGCTTGACTGGGGTGGACAAGTGTTGAGTGCGGCGTAAAACAATACGAAATTCAAAAAGGCAAAGAATTGTCATTATAGTTACTTGTATAAATATAAGGGGATACGTACACATAGATTGCCACCTATAGTCTATGACACGTCTGTACACGCAGATTATGATTCATGTGCAACTACCTCTGAAATATCCAATGCATAATAGTAAAGTGTAACAAAGTGCAACATATAACAGTGAACTAACTGCAACGCGTAATAGTAGAGCAAACTGAACGCAAGGCAGTAAAGTATAACAGTCGGTCCAACACAGTACTAATGTGCAACAATTAGTTGAACACATGACTCTAATAGTGAAGGAAACAGTAGACTCTAATAGTAAATTGAAACACATGATAGTAGACTCTAACAGTAAATGAAACACATAACTGTAGACTCTAATAGTGAATGAAACGAATGACTGTAGACTCTTACAGTGACTGAAACAGTGAAACAGGAGATTGTGTGCGTGTCTGGGGCTTTAAGTCGACCGTTTCAGATTAATCCATATAAACGTATATCGATCATCTCCTACAGGAAATATTAAGTACTACGTAGGAGATACTATGTCCTACGTAGGAGATACTAAGTCCTACGTAGGAGATATTAACTCCTACGTAGGAGATATTAAGTCCTACGTAGGAGATACTAAGTCCTACGTAGGAGATACTAAGTCCTACGTGGGAGATACTAAGTCCTACGTAGGAGATACTGTGTCCAACGTAGGAGATACCCACTTAGGAGATACTAAGTCCTACGTAGGAGATACTAAGTCCTACGTAGGAGATACTAAGTCCTACGTAGGAGATATTAAGTCCTACGTAGGAGATACTAAGTCCTACGTAGGAGATACTAAGTCCTACGTAGGAGATACTAAGTCCTACGTAGGAGATATTAAGTCCTACGTAGGAGATACTAAGTCCTACGTAGGAGATATTAAGTACTACGTAGGAGATAGTAAGACCAAAAAAATTTTCACCGTGGCCCTACTACGCTTCCGTAGATATCAAATACTCCACCCCTATTAAATAAATATTATGCAGAAACGATTTAGGCCGTATTAGAAGAGACGAAATGAGAGACAGGTAAAACAATTTACTCATCTTCATTCACGAAAAGAACAATATTAGATAAATCAAATCAATTGGAAGACAAGATTAATGACATAAAAGATGACATAAGGCATATTTTCAACAAAACAATTATCTGAACAATCAAAATACAGGTTAGAACTAGAACGATGAAAGAAGACGCAAGAGGTATGCAAAGTCGAAATAGAATGCAGTTGAACGATGGAGGAAAAATGTTTTCTTCTGCGACTTGGAAAATAGAAAATAAATCCTTAAAACAAAGAAAGTTGTAACTGAACATGATACGGTGAAGCCGGACAGCAATAATAATTGAGGGAGTTTTACAAAGATGTGTATACGTCTGTTAGCATTGCTGACTGAAATTATGATAGTTTAGAGAATCAGTCATTAGAAAACCAAGTGAAAAACACTCTGGAAAGAGAAAAGAATATATGTCTCATATTCAGTTAAGACATGAAAAACAATAAAAGCCCCGGAGTTCACGATTTTCAGAATATATTTTAAGCGGAGGACGCTGGTATGTTGCTATAGTAACAGCAGAGAATATATCTAATAGCAACTTAATGAATGTTTGTGTAATCAACATGAAAAGCTAAAGGAAATAAGTAGATGGTTTGCAAGCCTCAAAAAAAGAAATCTGACTTTAATAGGAAACATACAGAAACGTCGAAAATTTAGCACTACCAAAACCTGTCCACATACTTTTGTGGATAAGAAATCCCAACCTACTAATGAGTTTGGTTTATCACTACAAAACCACAATTTTGTATAGAACAATAAAAAGACGAAATGACACGAAATGGACGATTTTGTACTGAAGGTATGAGAAAAGTTGATCACACTCATTAGAGCTATCTACTTTCAGATAATATTGTAAAAAACACTCCAATGACGTCAACGAAACGTACACATGGATATTAGAGTATATGGTCTATAAATGCTTTGCCCTCGCGGTAAGATGTGAATATGCCTTCAAGAAACAAGTGAAGTGACGCTTTGTTTCTTAATACCCTGTTATTCCAGTTCAACAGCTTTGAACAGCTGTGTATCAACTACACGAACGAGCGTCTGCAGCAGTTCTTCAACCACCACATGTTTGTGCTGGAGCAGGAAGAATACAAGAAGGAAGGCATTGTCTGGCAGTTCATTGACTTCGGCATGGACTTGCAGGCCTGCATAGAACTTATTGAAAAGGTATGTCAAATGCGGCTAATCTTAATCTTGGCAGTAACCATACTTACATAGAGAACGTTTTTTTCAGATATCAGTAACCTCTGTATATTTTTCTGGATATTATTTATTCATGTTGCCATCTAAACAATAGATATGAAACATCTGCATCTATTTAACTGTTTTAGCCCCTGGGTATCCTGTCAATTTTGGAAGAAGAATGCATGTTTCCTAAGGCCAGTGACAAAACCTTTAAGGATAAACTGACGGAGAACCATATGGGCAAATCTCCCAACTTCCTCAAGCCTGGAAAATCTATGAAGGGAGGTCAACACGGTGACTTCGCCCTGAAGCACTACGCTGGAACAGTTCCCTACAACATTGGAGGCTGGCTCGAGAAGAACAAGGATCCTATCAACGAAACCTTGGTGAATTTGCTTAAAGAATCCAAGGAACCGCTGGTGACTCTTCTCTTCCAGCCTCCAGCTGAGGGTAGGCTTTCATTATGTACTTACTACAAAGATCTATCAATACGAAATAAAGGCCTCTTATGAGGCCTCAATGACCAAACATTGGAAACATCTTTGACATCTTTGCATTTTCGATGATATTGTGTCATCATGCGGTTTTGCGGTTAACCTTATTGGTATTTTCTGTTCTGTTTAATCCTGATACCATTGATTAAACTATATTTAGATGCATCTGCTGGCGGTGGTAAGAAGAAGAAGAAGAGTTCTGCATTCCAGACTATCTCTGCAGTTCACAGGGTAAATACACGTCACCATATCTGATACAAGTGAAACACCTACTGCGCACATGTTATTAACATAGAACAACAAGTTGAGAGACCCCAACACATCATGCCAGGGAATGTATATTACTTGGCACACTATTTCGTTATATCACCTGGTATGGTAATGACGATCGTTTGCAAGGTAAAAGTATGATTAGAACTATCGTTTACTCAAACAATGACACTCCTGTGCAGGAAAGAGCATTTGTAGCCCTGTAAAACTCACTCCACCCCCACCCAAAACACACTTAAGGCTGTCCCCACCTTCAAGTTTATTGATTGAAACCTCCTGCATCGATTCAAAGAGGCATTTAGAGTAAATAACATAGTTAACTACTGATGGCGTGAGTGATGGCTCTTGTTTCAAAGATGCTCTTTATGTTCTATGATAGGAGTCTCTGAACAAGCTGATGAAGAACTTGTACACTACTCACCCTCACTTCGTGCGTTGCATCATTCCCAACGAGACAAAAAGTCCAGGTAAACCAACCCATATTTCTTTCGCTGGTGTAATATCATTGATGACCTTGTAAAATTAAATACATATAACACTATCAGATTTACAAAGCAGTTTATTTCTCTATGATTACAATGTATATAGGTACAAAGAAATAGTTTGATCTCGTGCTTGCAGGTGTGATTGACGCTGCCCTTGTGCTCCACCAGCTCCAGTGTAACGGTGTACTTGAGGGTATCCGTATCTGCAGGAAGGGATTCCCTAGCAGAGTCGTGTACTCTGAGTTCAAACAGAGGTTCGTATGCCATTCCTAGACATCTAGTTACAGTTTAATGCTTAGCGGAATGTTACTATCACACACCTAAACCATTACATCATCAAGATTAAATTTTATGAATTGAACGCAATAAGTAAAGGTCTTGCCCACTCTGGCCATGACATGTAGACTTTGAGCAAACATCTGTCTGATTCTTCCCAGATATTCTATATTGGCTCCAAACGCTATCCCAGAAGGCTTCGTTGAAGGCAAGATTGTTGCTGGCAAGATTCTGGACGCCCTGGAACTGAGCAAGGACGAGTACCGTCTGGGTAACACCAAAGTTTTCTTCAAAGCTGGAATTCTGGGTTACCTTGAGGAACTCCGTGACGATCGTCTCAGCACAATTTGCTGTTTGTTCCAGGCTCACATACGTGGGTACTTGAAGCGCAAGTTCATGAAGAATTTGGATGATAAGAGGTATAAGAATGAATATTTAAATAATATATAATAATAATGATAATAATATCAATGGATTTGGTGATTATTTCTTGCTTTGCCTTTGGTAATGGCATGGCTTTAATGAGTTCAGTGTTTCTACAGAACTGCATTGGAGTTGATCCAGAAGAACATCCGTAAGTGGCTAGCCATGAGGAACTGGCTCTGGTGGAGATTCTACACCAAGGTCAAGCCACTTCTCAGTATTCAAGCCGCTGAGGATGAAATGAAACTAAAGGAAGAAGAACTAGCAAAGACAAAGGAAGAACTTACAAAGGTTAATCAGAGGTGCAAGGAACTTGAGGAGCAGAGTGTTGATTTGATGGAGTCCAAGAACAAAATGTTCCTGGAGGTGCAGACCCAACAGGATACCATTGATGACTGTGAGGAGAGAATCGAGCAGCTTTTGAAAGGCAAAGAAGATTTTAAGAATCAAGTGAAAGAGCTTGAAGATCGCCTTCTTGATGAAGAAGATGCCAATGCTGATGCTGTAGAAAATCGTAAAAAAATGGAGTCAGAGAAAGACGCTTTGAAGAAAAATGTCGAGAACTTGGAGGGGAGCCTGAAAAAGGCAAGCTGTGATACAAGTTTAATAAAATATGATGGTATTTAATAGGTCCACATCCACCTGATCTCACGTACCTGGCCAAGTTATCCTAAAACGCATATAGACTGAATGTGAGAAAATGTCACACTTTGCTCCTTAAATAAAAGTGACAGTCCATAGTAAAAGTCTACCCATTGCACGAATCCGAGTTTACACTAAGCTGCGTTTATGTGTTATTATCAAATAGTGATGTTACTAGTTTCAAACACATCATATATGGGGTTTCCGTTTCAGGCTGAAGATGATAAGCAGGCCAAGGACAAACAGATTCTTGGTCTGCAGGATGAGCTGGCAAATGCTGATGATGCTATAGCCAAGCTGTCTAAACAGAAAAAGGATGGCGAGGAAACCCTGAAGAAGAACCAAAGCGATCTCCAGGCGGAGGAGGACAAAGTCAATCACCTCAGCAAACTAAAGAGCAAGTTAGAACAAACTCTTGATGAGGTATGATCTCAACTAAGTATACTATGCTGACTGCAGTTGGGTCGCATGTAATGTTCACTTCAATGTTGTAAAGGTATATTTGTTTTGTAAAAGTAATCAATTTAGGCAGGCATACTCATTCTATACAGTTGTATGATAAAGTTGTTGGCAAATATAATAAATGCGACCTTCAGACTCTGAAATTGTCTTTGAAACTAAGCTGGAGGACAACCTAGAGCGTGAGAAGAAGGTGCGCGGCGATGTTGACAAGGCCAAGAGGAAGGTCGAGCAGGACCTCAAGGCAACTCAGGAGGTTGTGGAGGACCTGGAACGTGTCAAGAGAGAACAGGAAGATTCACTGAGAAGGTAGATAATCCAGTTGTCCCTGTTAAATATTAAAATGATCCCAGAGTAGTATTTAAAGAACTACCGTAATCATTGCAATTAATATGTCACTCGGTACCCTTTAGCACTAAAGGGTTCGGGTCGAGGTAACATGTTTCCGCTTGAAAATGTAACTTTATAACGTAGCGATACCTGCAAAGATTACTGACAGTATTATATCTTCAGAAAATGGAATGCCTTCGTATTTAATGTAATATGAGGAATATAACTCTGAAGATGTGTGCATCCATATGACAGGGATAAATGGGGTTTTGAAGGTACAAGATTCTTTTGCATTTCACCATTAAATTAGTAAGTTATACCATTTGATTATCGCGCAACACAGAGAAGGGACCTGTCTGGGTTGCTTCACATCTGATGGATGTCTGCATGTTGTGATCACGAGAGTGAACATTATATCATTTAATGTGAAAACATGACATTTTTAGGAAAGACGTTGAAATCTCAGGTCTTAACACCAAACTCGAAGATGAACAAAGCATGGTTGCACAGCAACAGAGGAAAATCAAGGAATTCCAAGTATGTTTGAACATTTTGTACGCTGATACAAGTTAGGTCATAAGTATTTGATAGGAAAAAGAATTTAAATAGGATTTTATACTTGTAAATGTCAACAAATATTTTATTCTTATATTACCCAACGCAATGTATTGAAACACTGCTGTTTTATGAACTGTTAAATGAAGGGAAAAGTCCAGCTACTGGAGTCGAGTGTACGTGAAAATAAGCTTACTTTGGATTGCCTGACGTAATGTTTGACCACAAATGCTGTGAATATTGAAAAACCTGATGACTATGTTTCTTGTACAGAGTCGCGTGGAGGAGCTGGAGGAGGAATTGGAGAGTGAGAGGATGATGAGAGGAAAGGTAGGTGGAACCCATGTCTTGTGTTGAAAGAGACATATTTACCTATTGGCGTGTAAGCCGGTAACCGATTCTGGCGTATGGTCGAGGATGTTACATGACAGTAGTGACATGGTTTAATATTTAAACACGTCACTCGAGAACAGACCACTTACGTGTGTGATGTACAAGGGGGAGGTGTAGTCAATACATGGTCAATGTACAACGAGGAGGTGTGGGTCGGTAGAAGTGTGACGTACAGTGAACATGTGGTCAGTATGTGTGATGTACAACAGGGGGCTGTGTTCAGTGTAGTCGATGGACAGTGGACAATGGACACTCTATATTATGTACAATACGCTAATGTGAGCTGTATATGAGTAATGTACAACAGGGGGCTGTGTACAGTGTATACGATGGACAATGGACACTCTATGTGACGTACAATACGCTAATGTGAGCAATATATGTGTGATTTACAAGAGGGGGCTGTGTTCAGTGTATACGATGGACAATGGGCAATGGACACTATATGTGATGTTCAATACGCTGATGTGGGCAATATCTGTGTGATGTACACAAAGGAGGTGTGATCACTACATGTGTTATGTAAATTGGGAAATGTGGACAGATGTTAAGGATGTGTGAACAAGTTGTTATTTCCAACAGGGAAGTGCGGTCAGCATATGTTATGTACTATGTGTTTTCTAGGTCGATAAGCAGCGAACAGAGCTGGCACGTGAGCTGGATGACCTGTCCATGCGTCTGGACGAGGCTGGAGGTGCAACAGCTGTTCAGGTCAGCCATTTCTAGCGACCAATACACACCTCTCATAAAGTAGCAGTCACAATTATTATCGAAAACAGGCGAAATGGGAAATAACGGCTTATTGACAGTTGATGGTTATTACTATGATATAAAGCGGTAACATATAGAGGATAAAACAAGACTTTATGTATGATTTGTGTACAAGATATAACCCATCAACAATTGTGCTTTAAAACTTATGTATTTGTATCTTATAAGGAGCACGTTAACACTCTTTTAGGTAACTATACAATACGTACATAGAACAAGGTTGACACCTTAAAGTATGGGACAGTGATAGATGTTGGACTGTGGTATGTCGCTACAGACGGAATTGAACAAAAAACGAGAGCTGGAACTTGCTAAGCTTCGTCGCGAACTGGAGGAGGGAACTCTCCAGAATGAAGCCCAGATTGCAAGCCTTCGTAAGAAAGCTAAAGACACTGCTAACGAGCTCGGCGACCAGGTGGACCAACTGACAAAGGTGAAGCAAAGGTACGTGACATATTTTGTAGCTGAAGTGACATTTACCTTCATCTGAGATGATGCATTTTGTGAAATACTATACAATAATGTTTCGATTTAAATAATTTCCATACAATTATCAAACGGAGTCTTGTCCATCTAGGCTTGAAAAGGAGAAGAACCAGATGAGGAGCGACATTGATGAGCTTCAATCACAGCTGGATTCCAGACCCAAGTCAGGCGTCAGTACATTTACCTTCTAGTGATATATAATTATACACTATTAGTATATACCACATTGAAACCTTTATGACATCAACTTATAATATCAGTCTCAATTATCTGTCGATTCTACTGAACCTCAAAGGCAAAATAGCAATGAAAAGTCTGAATATAATACCCGTCTCATATATACTGAATGCATTTTGTCCTTGATTACAGATTATTGAACTATGAAGGTTGAAGATTAGAGCAGTACTTGTTTCAGATACATGAAGTTTCAGGGCGTTACAAAATACGAAGAGATAATGTGACTGAACACCTTTGCATTTTGCGTTGTTTCAGGGCGTCTCCGACAAGATATCAAAACAGATGGAGGCTCAGCTGTCAGAGCTGAACGCAAGATTAGAAGACAGTAACCGCCAAAACGGTGACATCCAGTCTCAGAAGAATCGCTTGCAGGCAGAAGTCAGTGACCTCACACGCCAGCTGGAGGATGCCGAGCACCGTGCTAGTGTGCTGACGAAAGACAAAGCAGCTCTCAGCAGTAGTCTGGAAGAGGCAAAGAGAGGTTTCGAGGATGAGTCTCGTGTAAGTTTCACTGCACGCCATTATCATGTGAAAGATACCGTGAACAATTAAGCTTGTGGCATACATAGATCGCCCCTGTTACAAGAGCGTCATACCTTCAGCACACCTGTTACAAGTGTCATCAGGTCACCTTCAGCACACCTGTTACAAGTGTCATACCTTCAGCACACCTGTTACAAGTGTGTCATACCTTCAGCACACCTGTTACCAGAGCGTCATACCTTCAGCACACCTGTTACAAGAGTGACATACCTTCAGCACACCTGTTACAAGAGTGTGATACCTTCAGCACACCTGTATAAGATGGTCATACATTCAGCACACCTGTATAAGAGTGTCATACCTTCAGCACACCTGTTACAAGAGTGTCATACCTTCCAGCAAAGCACACTTGTATAAGAGGGTCATACCTTCAGCACACTATATGTTACAAGAGGGTAATCACACCTGTAACAAGAGGGTCATACCTTCAGCACACAAGAGTGTCATACCTTCAGCACACCACACCTACCTTCAGCACACCTGTTAAGAGTGTCATACCTTCAGCACACCCTGTTACAAGAGTGAGTGTCATACCTTTCAGCACACCTGTTACAAGAGTGTCATACCTTCAGCACACCTGTTACAAGAGTGTCACATACCTGTCATACATTCAGCACACCTGTTACAAGAGTGTCATACCTTCAGCACACCTGTTACAAGAGTGTCATACCTTCAGCACACCTGTATAAGAGGGTCATACCTTAATCACACCTGTAACAAGAGGGTCATACCTTCAGCACACCTGTTACAAGAGTGTCATACCTTCAGCACACCTGTTACAAGAATGTCATACCTTCAGCACACCTGTTACAAGAGAGTCATACCTTCAGCACACCTGTATAAGAGGTCATATAAGAGTGTCATACCTTCAGCACACCTGTTACAAGAGTGTCATACCTTCAGCACACCTGTTACAAGAGTCATACCTTCAGCACATAGTCATACCTTCAGCACACCTGTATAAGCACACCTGAGAGTGTCATACCTTAATCACACCTGTTACAAGAGGGTCATACCTTAATCACACCTGTAACAAGAGTGTCATACCTTCAGCACACCTGTTACAAGAGAGTCATACCTTCAGCACACATGTAACAAGAGTGTCATACATAAGGAGAACCTCTTTTCAAGCGCTTCAAACAAGCAGTTCAACTGTAACAGCCATATATTGAGGACGGTTTAGTTGTATTCCATTGTTTAACACCGTAAAACGAGTCTGATATACATTTGAATGAATCCTTACTATGGGAACTGTTACCATTCCTATGTTTATGCTACAGCTGCGCATGAAGCTGCAGTCAGAGAACCGCAACCTGAACGCCGACGTCAATAACCTCCGTGACCAGATGGAGGAGGAGCAGGATGGCCGCACTGCCCTACAGAGGCAGTTGTCCAAGGCCAACAACGAGGCGCAGCAGTGGAGGGCCAAGTTTGAGACCGATGGCGAAGCGCGCGCTGAAGAGCTGGAAGAAGCAAGGTGATATTGCCCCCCCAGTATCTTGAATGGCAGATGATGAGTGTGAGTGTGACACAATGTTCCCATCAATATGAGCATGCTATGTATACACCATCTTCAGGTGATCCCATATGGTAAGTGTAGATTAAACATAGCTGCTGTTGGATTGGATAATCTAATACCTCAAAATTCCCAGTTTCATCACCTGTAATCGAACAGTTTGCGCAGACCATTTCTCGTTTGCAAGCACTCATATAGTATAACTGTTCCATCATAAGCCTAATTACGTCTTTTTCCTAACTAGGCGCCGTCTTCAGAGCAAACTTTCGGAAGCAGAGCAAAACCTGGACACTGCCAACAACAAGGTCACCGGCCTTGAAAAGGCCAAATTCAGGCTGCAGGGAGAGCTTGAGGATCTCATGATTGACGCTGAGAGGGTGCGAATTATGTTCTACTCAACTTTGGATAAGTATTCTCTGATCCCAGGAATCCAATAAACACGTTTCTACATCAATGAATCATGGGTATAGAGTAATGACCCTTTGTATATTACATCCAGAAGGCGGTTTTCTCATCTAACGAAATCTCTCAATTTTTCTATTAATCTTTTATATACCAATGTGATGCCTAATATATCTGTAATATATGACAGTCAACTGATAACAAAACCCCTTTCCCTATTGATAAAAAACCCTCTAATTCAATCATAGTTCATCGTACGGTTCCAACGGTACCATCTGTTTATCAATCATTATCAAATACTGATGAAAACATGTTTGCCGAATGACACATAAGAAGGACAATTGTGTGCATTTAATTCCCAATAGGCCAACGCCAATGCTAACAACCTTGAGAGGAAGCAGCGTTCATTCGACAAGACCGTGTCAGAGTGGCAGAGCAAGGTGAAAGGCCTCCAGAACGATCTGGACACAGCCAACAGGGAGAGCCGTACCGCCGCCGCCGATGTGTTCCGTATGAGGACCCAGGTTGACGAAGCTAATGACTCCGTGGAGGCTCTGAGAAGAGAGAACAAGAACCTATCTGGTGAGATGGTTGCTTTAATGATCACTCTGTGACGTTAAGTGCAAAAAACCGTAATCTGGTCTATGTCCATATGTCACGTTGTCTCTGACACAGAAAGCCATTATGTAAAGCATTAGGATAACTAGGTCATATTACTTGGGCTCAGTCTCATATAGTAACGGCGACGGTAACTATATGATAAAGCCCTTTCTTGGTGTCCGTCACCTTGCACTTGCTGGAATATTGCTAAATTCGATTGTTGTAAATTGTAAAAAATCTCTGACACTGTGTTGTCAGAACAATAGGTAATGAGTATGATACAAACATCACCTACGCCCTGATCGGAATGTGCCCAATATTCTACCGGTTTTCAGATGAGATTCGTGACCTGACTGACCAGTTGACAGACGGTGGTCGCAGTGCCCTTGAGATCGACAAGGCCCGCAGGCGTGCCCAGAACGAAAAGGAGGAGCTACGAGTGGCCCTCGAGGAGGCAGAGGTCAGTCTGGAGCAGGAAGAGGCCAAGACTCTCCGTGTTCAGATGGAACTGGCCCAAGTCCGCAGCGAAATCGACAGACGCCTCAGTGAGAAGGAAGACGACTTCGCGAGCTCCAGGTAGTTTTTCACATGGCATTTTCTGACCTCTTAATTATCGCACCTGTGTTTTTCTCGGCGACGTTTTCTTGAAGATGTGACATGAATTAGTTTTCCTTGCTACACAAATACACACAGCCAGGAAATGGTATAATACTGGATTATGGTATTGGTTCGTGTCCTTTTGAATTGCTTTTTCGGATTCCGATGTGAATATTGATGAGTTGATGCTGTCAATATGATCGTGAATATTTCCTACAGACGCAATCACCAGAAGGCCGTTGAATCCCTGCAGGCCAGCCTCGATGCTGAGACAAAGAGCAAAGCGGAGGTCATCAAGATAAAGAAGAAGCTTGAGCAGGACATCAACGAACTGGAAGTGGCCGTGGACAGTGCTAACCGCGCCCGTGCTGATGCCGAGAAGAATGCCAAGCGATACCAGCAGCAGATCAGTGTATGTTTTGTTTAATGTGCCTATCGATTTGAGGAAGTTCGTATTGACTCGTAATGGTCAGTCGCGAAATAAATTCATTGTGTCTCCTTGAAACGTAACCTGGCGTAACTCTTTTTGGTGTCTCTGTCTTAAGAGCGTTTTGACTTTTGGGATCGTATGTATAGCTCATACCCATTTTGATATCCAGTGCTGCAAGATGCAAAACATCATTTTGTCCAAGTTATGCCTTATCAACCAATTGTGATAGTATTTGCGACGAAAAGCATAGACTTTATTGAATTAAATACTGATAATCTTCTCACAGACAAGATGAAAGTTTAGATCACAGTTTGCACCAGTTGAGACGGTGGAGTGTACACAATGACCTGTAAAAACCTATCTTGATACATGTGTTTTTATACCCGTGGAGATCTCGGTTAGAATTGATCTTTAACAACCCATGCTGGTCGTAACAGGAAACTAACGGGATCGGGCCGTAAGGCTTGCTCACATGGTTGACACATGTTATCGTATCCCAACTGCTTAGACCGATGCTCTTGCTCGTGATCACTGGATTGTCTGGTTCAGACTCGGTTATTTACAGGCTGGAATATTGCTGAATTTTCCGTTAAACAACAAACCAACGAACACCATATCTTTATGTATACCCTACAGGAGGTACAGTCTCAGGTCGAAGATGCCCAACGTGCACGGGACGAGGCTCGTGAATCTGTGACAGCTGCTGAGAGACGCTTCAACATGGTGAGCGCGGAGTGTGACGAACTCCGGGGTTCTCTGGAGGTTTCTGAACGTGCACGCAAAGTGACTGAAGGAGAATGCCAAGAAGCCAGCGACCGCGTCAACGAACTGTCTGCCCAGCTGAACTCCGTGTCTGGACAGAAGAGGAAGCTGGAGACTGACATCTCAGCCATGCAGGTGAGGAGTGGACGTGAAGAACTGTGAAGTGTTTGATTTTACTTTAACGGAAATAAGTTATTACAGTCTTGTGTCTAAGCACCGAATACTCATTTTGAGACTGGGTCCGAACGTTGTTAATGGAGGCTCGTGTAACACAGGCATTCGATACCTGCTTGATTGTTATACATCTATGGCCAAACAAAGTGTACCGTAAATGACTTGAATCAGCTTGATTGGACTGTTGATTGGTCCGAGCCCAATATTCCTTTACGTTTGCTGTATGGAACACAACTTGTTGATATGTCAGTATTTTCATCAACCCTTCTTATTTAACTCGCGCTTGGTTTGTATCCCGTGACGATGACAGTGTGAGTGAAATGGTCAGAGAGAACTAACTGGCAAGTTCCTTAAGGAATATTATGAACAATGACAATGTTGGTTTTGTACAGGGCGACCTGGAGGACTTGAGCGGCGATCTCCGTTCAACTGAGGAAAACTATAAGCGCGCCATTTTGGATGTCACTCGTCTCTCTGAAGAGCTCCGTAACGAACAGGACCACGCTCAGTCCCTCGACAGGAACCGCAGGACTCTGGAAAACCAGGTGAAGGAGCTGGTCATACGCGCTGAGGAGGCAGAGTCGAATGGCGTCAAGGAGGCCAAGAAAGCAACCATCAAAATAGAACAGAAGGTGGGTAACACACGTCATTTTTTAAATTACAGTGTGTTGTTAGGTTTAGTATGGACTATGCTCTCCATCGTATGGCATATGTTTACCTGTCGGGAGTCTGTTTGGACTATACATGTGGGAGATAAAATCTTCATTAACCCTTATGCTTTAATTTCATTGGAACGTTTTGTCACTACATGTTAGTAACAGAAAACAACGTGGTTAATGTTACCACAATGCACGCTCAATTGCACAGATACCCAATAAGCTCTATGTTGAAAACGCGTATGTTTATCCCAAATAACTCTCCCACAGTTCACGTTCAAACAAAACCACATACGTTAGGCCATATTCACAGAATATGTGGTTTGCTTGTAGCTCCGCGATTTGGAGGCTGATCTGGAGAACGAGGTGCGCCGCCATTCCGATACCCAGAAACAGGCTCGCAAAGCAGAGAGGGCTGTGAAGGAGATAACCTTCCAGGCCGAGGAGGAGAAGAAGAACCAACAGCGACTCAAAGAGTTCGTCGACAATCTCAACGGCAAGATTAAGACGTTCAGAATACAAGTAGAAGAGGCGGTAAGTTCAGTTTTTCAAGATTTAATGGACAGCCCCAAAAAGTTTGCTTTGATCTTTTTGACAACTAGAAATTGGCATAGCTATGTGAAGCATAGTTACCATGTTGGCATTACTTTGCCAAATTAGATTTAGGTTCTGGTAATTAGAGTTGCTTTGGCAGGCTTGACTAATACCAAATGAAGTGCGACATGTCAAACGGTGCTTGAACGTTATCACATTTAATCTATGAGAGTGTGTCTAGTGTAACGGTGCTTGAAGGCGATAAAGGTTGTCCAATAAAGGTTTGACTAGTGTAACGGTTCCAGAATGTGTCCAAGTTTCATCTATGATAGTGTGTCTAGTGTAGCGATGCTTGAAGGCGATAAAGTTTACTCTTTAAAAAACGTGACAAGAATGACGGTACCGGAAGGATGCCCAGTTCCATCTATGGAAGTGTGTCTAAGTGTAGCGATGCTTGAAGGTGATCAGTGCTATGTAAATACTGGTGGTGTGTGGTCCTGTGCATAGAGCTCATGTCACAAATCAGTTGAAGTTAAGCAACGTTAAGCACTGAGAGTCCTTGGATGGGGACTGCGTTTGGCAGCTTGACTCTTGAGACTTCAGTCCTGCCCCACAACGATGCACATGTGATACATGTGGTCTCCCTTAGACAAATGAGTTAGTTCAAAATTGCCTCTGTTCACCCAGCAGAAATGGGTACCCGGTGGGATAAGTCATGTGACTATAACCTTCTAGCGCCTCACAGGCAGCTTGGGTTATCCGGGGTGATAATGTGCTGTGTTATTCATTGTTAGCGCCATGAGCATACCTGGTTTGGAGTTTGGCGAAATATAAATGGACACATTATTATTATGTTGGCTTGTTGCAGGAGGAGCTGGCCAACATCAACCTGAACAAGTACCGGCAGGTGCAGCAGCTACTGGATGATGCGGAGGAGAGAGAGCTGATTCCGCTGAGAATGCACTCTCCAAACTCAGAGCCAAGAACCGCAGCACCGTATCCAATATTCATTAAATGCTCAAAGCACGTTCTCCCACGCCCAGCCTACTTGTGGAATCCGGAGAGACGATTATTCTTATGTATATTTTAAACAGTTTACAATGTATTGGGAGTGTGGTGAGCGGATCGACTTTCATTCCATACTGAGATCTGCCGTGAAGATTGACACAAACGACGTCATTTTAACACTGACGTAAGAAAAACACCTACAGATATCGGACCTGGGCATGTGAAGTCTAGCTACTGAAGCCCAGGGTATGTTTAGGTGCATTTCAACTCACGATTCGCTTCATAAGCTTTAGTGTAGGGCTGGAGGATTGCGCTCGCTCATCACGCACCAAGCCCTGGTACGCTCAGAAGCAAGTGTTACAATGAAATGACCATGATGGGGATCCGTCGCCGCAGTATGAACACTCGTTAACAGTGTATTCGCTCACAGACAAGACATTGTGAAATATTTGTCTTTCGTGAGTTTCTAGACACGTTAGCTTCCACACCTTTGTTAAGAACCTGAATAAAATGTTTTTTATTGATTGGTTCTTTTGTCTTGCTTGCAAATAGTGGATGATAAATGGATTATAGAATGGTAAGTGTGACAGTTGGTGCGTTGTTCTGAAATAAGCAGGCACAGACAGGGAATTTGTCGGGACACGAGAAATAGTGGACAAGAGACTGCGACCACGTGAGTTTCTGTGGGGCAGGGTACGTAAACCGAGTGCACATGAGGTATGGTGAGTCAAAGAGGGACTGAACTAAGGAGACTGAGTGCACGTGATATATGGTAGACAAGAGATTGTTGTTCGAGTGAATTTCAGACATGCTTGGATAGGGACATAGCGAACGAGTGAACGTGAGATAAGTAGGGACAATGAAAAAAGCGTCCGTGTGGACATGCGAAATGGCGGGATCGGCATGACTGACCTTATGCACGTGCAATATGGCGGAATAGGCGTGATTGGCCTTGTGCACGTGGGATATGGCAATATTGGTGTAACTGGACTTGTCCACGTACGATATGGCGGGATTAGTCTTGTGCAAATACGATTTATCGGAATAGGCGTTACTGACCATGTGCACGTGCAATATGGCGGGATTTGCCTTGAGTTCGCGCGATATGACGGGATAGGAGAGAATGGTTTGGAAAGAAGAAGGAATTGTGAATGACTAGGTCGCCATATAATACTTGAGATATGACCGGATAACATGGGGTAAGATACACTTTGACTGGAAGGCGTCTTCACACTAGAAATCGACAGGATTTAGTAGTGAGTGAATGAGTTTTGGGGATTTAGTAGACACAGTAAATTCGGGAAGGGGTATCTCAGCGGTGTGCAGGTATGCATGTGTCAGAATGTGCATCATCATATGACATTATAATGTAAAATCTCCAAAGTTCGGATTAAACCCAGTGACTAAGCATCGGGGAGAATTTCTGTGACATGCCTGCACATGGGAATACCACCAATGGTGGCATCATCCACCAATGTGTGAGGTTTAAGGCGGGAAGAGTTTCCTCCCTTTAACTTCTAAGTCTCGTAACGACTTCTTACTTGTTAACACTCCATGAATACATGCAAACAGTTTTTGTCTGAATATGTCATCACTTACTTTGTAGAAATATCTACTGCAATATGCTCTATTATCCACGTGTTATCTGATGGCAAGAGTGTTATCTTTCGAAACGAGATCTTGAAGTATTGCAGAGCGTTGTTGGGGACGTATAACTGCAGGAAGAGTCACCGCCTTGATTCACAGCGGTGTCCAGCGCAAAGTTTACACGAGTTATTTCCCTTAGATTGGTAACACGTTCAGTGGTTTCGTATTGTGCACAGGTTTACCGCACGTATGAAAATAAACACACACACACACACACACACACACACACACACACACACACACACACACACACACACACACACACACACACACCCCTTTCACATATTTCCGACATGTACTTTTGAGAACATTCGTATATCAGTTTATAAAGAGACACAATCTGAAATCACACTGGATTGTCATTCAATGAATGTACAATTCAGCAAGGCTGAAATCTATTGGAAAAATCAAACCAGGCATTGCTATTGAGGAGCGTTCCTCTTTATTCATCGCATGGTTCACGTTTATCGTGTTGCCGGTCGAATTAAACGGAATTAAAGAAACCCCATAGTTTCCTTGTATTTTCTCCAAAAAAATTCCATTAGGTACAAAAAACATGTCGTTTCGCTTGCCTATATCGGTTAACTTGCATTGTTGTATTACTGAAATCATTCTGCTGATATCGTGAAAACTATTCATAAATTGTCAAGTTTATTCCAAAATTTGGTTAGCTGATCCGAAAGCCAGGTAATTAAACCCCAAGACGTTCTGGTCAATTCGTCTGTCTCACCCTCCCTGAATCCCTTCCGCCCGGCCCTATCTGCAATGTAAAACTCTAACTCGAGTAAGTCTATGTCTCAGCTTATGAGCTCTACTTAAACAAGGTCAAACAGTTGTTTATTTCATCAAAGTTATATATTTTCAAGGACTAAGCAGACGAACTCTACAGACCTATAGTCAGTACAAACGTACAAATACAAATTCCCAGTTTCTGTACAAGGTAAACAGTTTACCTGGTGGAAAAAAGTTTGAAGTACGCGATCGTAATAACCAATTTCATTGTATCGGATGTTCAAAATTGAAGCGTTTGTAGTTTATAACTGAAACATGAATTACTTTTAGACTAGCAGTATTCAAGGTAGGCGAATTCGGTATAACCGGAGTCGGCGGATTTCTGAGTCATGCCTGCACTGACAAACACAAGTAACCAACAATGAACTTCATTCCGCCATAACCCTGCTGATGTTGGAACCAGCGCTCAAGCCGACTTTAAGTAACATATCCTTCTCCTCAAGCGTTAACGAGGAAACCAGAGAGCCGCTCTCCCAGATACAACACATGGCAGACAAGATAGCAGTTAACGTCAAACATCAACACGCTGCTGTTCACTAATTATTCACATAGATCAAATACTGTTGCTTGCCGTGTTATCTGGCCAGGATGTGTAGCACTTGGGAACCATGGCCACGGTTGCGCCGTATCCACAAACAACTGTTTGTTGTTAGGTCCTCTGCTGATGGCCTCGTTTTGTATATTATTAGTGTAGCAATTGAAAGAATAATCTACAATAACATCAGGCCCCTGCATTTCATTCGCTCTAGCAATTATGCTGTAACACCTGAGAATCGTGACTTGGAAGAACATGCATCTTCTCACAGAGTTATTGCTGGCTGAAGATGGTTGATTGTTCTCAAGTACAATGTATTTGCACTTTGTGTGTTTTACGTATGTTATCATTACTTGAGAGGCTGTGGGGTAGTCGTCTTGTTAGAGTGATGTCCTTCTTAAACGGTAACGGGTTCCATTCCACTGCATGAGTATATTGTGTGTGGCAATGTCTCCCGTCCCTGGTATTGCTGGACCATTGCTAAATGACCCTAGATCCTACTCACTGATTTACCCCCAAACTTTCCTACAAATCATCCGTTCATCTTTACAATTTTAGGAAATGATAACAAATTTACATAATAATTTTAGGTAAGATTTGGAAGCGAGCTATACAGAATTACACTATGAGCTAACAAGCATAAAGCAAGGTGTCTGTCTGTAGTCTACAAGCTTTCAGTTCCCAACACCTTGCCTTCCAATTTGGATGTCTGTCTATCTCATCATGGCGTTTGTTATACACCAAGAACCCGTGCATATAGTACGAGCGAAGGTCACCAATGAAGGTAGGTAATTTCAGCCACAGCCAACCAAGAGATCAGATGAAGCTTGCCGCCCGCCGGATGCTGGATCATTTGGTAAAAGACGCGGGGCAGCAGGGAACCGCATCTTCATGCCCCTGCTACGTGGCCTGATACCGTGTGCCTTACTGTCTGACTGACTGATGTTTCAAACAGTCTGTGCACTACCTAGCAGCGACCCTTGAAGGAACTACTGTTACCATGACAACAAGTTACTGACAGGCAAATATACCTACCATACATTCGCTGGAAATGTAAAATTATCAGCTCTTGATGATGTTATGGTTAAGAACAAAACCATTTAATAAATAAACTAAACTTGGTTTTAATGACGTAACATGGTAACAATGGTTTATACCAGAACCTGCTCCTTGAAGAGGCAATAAACGCGTTTCATTACCTGTAACGTACGAAATAGGATAATTGGGTTAAATTTCTGAAATGTGTAACAGGTGAAGTTATAAGGTAATAAGGTTCATTGTCGCTTTTAAGACCAGTGTAAGGTGTACACACGTGTATGTGCGTATGTGTGTTTTTAAGCTTGTGTGTGTACTTGTCCGAAGTAATGCGGTTTTATTGTGCTAATACACTGAGATACCATGCCGTTGTTTAATATAACTACCCCTCAGACACTGTATGCAGACGCCGAACCGGCCAGTCTTCACTGTATCCCCTTAACGCCAGACAGGGGAAGAACAGGTACCATCTTGTAACGTCATTTGGTGTGTCCGTTAACCAAATCCTGGAACTTCCGGTCTCCTGACGGACGTCCTGCCCACAACTCAACGGAGGCGATACTGAGATATGTAATACGGTCAACACGATATGTAGGGTTCTTGTAGGAACGGGCTCTGTTTTGCTGCATGGTCAGCTCTAGGTAATTCCTTCCCGATCCAGTTTCAGACATACGTCACGGCCACTCCGAGTATACACTTTAATTGCACGGTAATACAAAGAAAACATTGCCATCTGTTAGCACTAAAGAACATATACCCTACATGAAAGTGCAGTCTCACAGTCGCTACAAGATGCCTGTCAGACTCGGGAAAATAAGTGAAGATACAGTTGCCCATGTGGGGTCTGACAAGGTCACCAGGGTCAAACTAGTCACTGTGAGACGTAAACATGAACATGCATTGGGACCCAGATATTGTTAAACGAAGACACTGCAGCTTCAGTTTACGCGTGGAGAGGACTATCAATAACCTCTGGTTACAAATGATGCTTGTCGTCATTTGTTTCAACCTAAGCTATATTCTATATCGGCTAACAGAGCTATATTCTATACCGGCTAACAGACAGAGATTTATCGCGGCGTCTGGAATAAATTAGCAGCCATTGCTTTCATCTACCAATTTAACCGAAACTTATTATTTCTTCTCCAGTAGTTGTCTCAGATTCCACGGACAAAACCTACGATATATAACAGTAATACGTACTAACATGTACCTTTACTTACATTTGAATCAGGTAATCATCACTACATTAGTTACAGAAGGTAATGAGTTGATCACATCACTGGTACTGGAGGCGCGCGTGGGCAGCCCTTACGCACGATTTATCTTTTATAGCATTGCTATGGGTTCCGTTAGAATTCTCTGAGTTTAAGCGTGATACGGAAAGACAAACGTAAGGGAAAACATGATTAATTGATGCAACATGTGTACCATAACGTGATGACTATATGCATAGTTACTTTTCTATCTTCATAGGCACAGGGTCATGTTACAATGTGAAGTTCAGTGAGAAAA